GCTGCTGTCTTCAGGCATTGATTCCTTGCTTTAGAGGCACCGAAAATGGTGGCGCTATGGAGGATCTTCACTTAAAGGTGAGTTTTAAGCCCATAGGAATGCATTAATCACATTTTAATGTGTTTCTATGGGCTTTTTATTTTCGCTTAGCGATGTTATTGCTTAGCAGGGATTTTTTCTGCATGAATTAACATCGCTAAGCGAGGCACCACTGTATCTGAGGATCTGAAAAAATGAATTGTTGCTCTACATAAAGGTGGCCTAGGCTATAAGAAGATTGCCGAAATCCTGAAACTGAGCTGCAGCACAGTGGCCAAGGCCATACAGCAGTTTAACAGGGAAGGTTCCACTCAGAACAGGCCTCACCATGGTCGACCAAAGAAGTTGAGTGCCCGTACTCAGCATCATATCCAGAGGATGGCTTTGGGAAATAGACGTATGAGTGCTGCCAGCATTGCTGCTGAGGTTGAAGGGGTGGGGGGTCAGCCTGTCAGTGCTCAGACCATACGCCATACACTGCATCAAATTGGTCTTCAGGGCTGTCATCCCAGAAGGAAGCCTCTTTTAAAGATGATGCACAAGAAAGCCCACATACGGTTTGCTGCGGACAAGCAGACTAAGGACATGGATTTCTGGAACCATGTCCTGTGGTCCGTAGCGATGAAATCGCTTAGTGATGCTGTTTTTGCGATCGCAAAAGCGATCGCTTTGCGATGTTCCCTATGGGGAAATTTCGCTTTGTGATGATCGCAGGGAAGCGATCATCGAAAAGCCCCCATTTTCGGCCAGTTGATCGGCGGTTTCAAAATGGCCGCCGGGTAAACAAAATGGCTGGCTGCTGTCTTCAGGCATGGATTCCTTGCTTTAGAGGCACCGAAAATGGCGGCGCTATGGAGGATCTTCACTTAAAGGTGAGTTTTAAGCCCATAGGAACGCATTAATCACATTTTAATGCGTTTCTATGGGCTTTTTATTTTTGCTTAGCGATGTTATTGCTTAGCAGGGATTTTTTCTGCATGAATTAACATCGCTAAGCGAGGCACCACTGTATCTGAGGATTTGAAAAAACGAATTGTTGCTCTACAGAAAGGTGGCCTAGGCTATAAGAAGATTGCCGAAATCCTGAAACTGAGCTGCAGCACAGTGGCCAAGGCCATACAGCAGTTTAACAGGGAAGGTTCCACTCAGAACAGGCCTCACCATGGTCGACCAAAGAAGTTGAGTGCCCGGGCTCTGCATCATATCCAAAGACTGGATTTGGGAAATAGACGTATGAGTGCTGCCAGCATTGCTACTGAGGTTGAAGGGGTGGGGGTGGGGTCAGCCTGTCAGTGCTCAGACCATACGCCATACACTGCATCAAATTGGTCTTCAGGGCTGTCATCCCAGAAGGAAGCCTCTTTTAAAGATGATGCACAAGAAAGCCCACATACGGTTTGCTGCGGACAAGCAGACTAAGGACATGGATTTCTGGAACCATGTCCTGTGGTCCAGTGAGATCAAGATAAACTTATTTGGTTCAGATGGTGTCAAGTGTGTATGGTGGCAACCAGGTGAGGAGTACAAAGACAAGTGTGTTGTGCCTACAGTCAAGCATGATGGTGGGAGATGTTCTGTGATGTCGTCCACCATCTCTGTGATGTCGTCATGGAGGAGTGGAAGAGGACTCCAGTGGCAACCTGTTAAGCTCTGGTGAACTCTATGCCCAAGAGGGTTAAGGCAGTGCTGGAAAGTAATGGTGGCCACACAAAATATTGACACTTTGTGCCCAGTTTTGGACATTGTGACTTAGGGGTGTACTCACTTTTGTTGCCAGCGGTTTAGACATTAATGGCTGTGTGTTGCAATATTTTGAAGGGACAGCACATTTACACTGTTATACAAGCTGTATACTCACTGCTTTACCTTGTAGCCAAGTGTCATTTCTTTAGTGTTGTCACATGAAAAGATATACTAAATATTTATGAAACGTGAGGGGGTGTACTCACTTCTGTGATATATTTGTTCAAAGGAGACCCTTGTTACATAGAATCAATGGAGAAGTCCTTTGCCTGCTTACAAGAAAATAAGGTTGTCCATCGCCACTAGCCATGATGATTATATGGTCCTCCAGGATCAGAAACAACAGTTTGCTTTTTAATATTCTGCATTGGGCTGGTCCAGCAAGTCAGTCTTGGTCAGTTGAAGAACAAGGCCAGAGAACTCCCAGATCAAACACAAGGCAATGCAGCAAGATCAAAGAACCAGAAACTTAACAAAGGTGAAAACAAATCCAGGGAGATCCAAAGCAAGAGTTTAGCAACAATCTAAAACGTTAAACCAGACTGGTATCTGCTGCAAATCAGCAGGAAATGTCAAAGGCTATAATCATCCGGGCCAAAGGTTATGCATAATTCAAGACTCAGCACCAAATTGAAGATTTCTATAGCTAGGCTCCTGGAGCCCCACCCACCATCCAGCTGTAGGCGGGGGAAGAGTTTGGGTCATTGGTTGCCTTGGGAGGAAGAGCTTCCCCCCACCCAAAGAAGCTGCTTCCCCTTAAGGAAAGCACTTTGTGCCAAGGAGTCTTTCCGTACAGCTTAGAACACAGGGGTAGGGGGAGCTTCTATCCAGGCTTTTGTCTCTTCAGCCTGTTTCCCTCTTTTAAGCTGGGTGGGATCCAGGTAATGTCTTGCATGACAAACTAGCATTTGGCTTGTATTGATTATTTCCCGGCATTTCTGTGTGGCTAGTGATGTCAGTCGTGCAGCTACGGTAGGTAATTTTATGGCTGAAGTGCGGAAATCTTACAAAAGTGCTCCTTAGATGACCGAGGGCGTACGTACGTTGGTTGTGAAGCTTGCAAGTAGCATTCACTTCTCCTGCTTCAGCCACCATTCAAGTTCAAAACTGCTTCCGTATTCCTCCTCCTACCTTACACCATACAGACAAAGCCAAAATGTTTTTCTCCTGGTTTTTAAATGTGTGGGTTTTGTATTTCAAACCAAGGGTACAACTACATGCCTACTGGTCCAATTGTTAGTGCTGGTGTTGTAACCGTCAATTTAAATGTTTTTCCCCTTCCCTTAACTACACAATGTAAATCAAATAGCAAGTAGACCTGCTCTTTTTTCCAGGTGTTTTCGGGTTGTTTTGCTCAGGCAGCAGAGTGTGGTTTTGGTTTGGTTTTATTTTGGTGGAGTTTCCACTTGCATCATTTTATCTTGCATCTGGCTTATCTGGTCACCTATACTGGGGGCAGTTGTGAGGCCTGTCCTGAGCACACTGAGAATGACATCCTCAGTGGAATAGGCTGTGATGGTTTAGCATTACTTCCTTCAAGTTCATGACCCTAAGGTTGGAATTACTTTTTCAAAAAAGTTTTTCTTAAATTTTACTATCTTAGCATTCCATTGGATGAGTGAAGCAATAGTAAATCAAAAATGGCTGTGTCTTGTGGATTTAATGTTATGTCACTTCATAGGCTAGAAGAAAATAGAGGGGGCTTAGGGGGGATAGAGTGGGGATAATAGCAGAGGAAGTTATGAGATACTGTAGGGAGAAATTTATATTTATTTATTTATTCATTCATTTATTT